GCAGTACCAGGTGGTGCCGCCCGGAGCTGCCCATCGTGGCTAGAAGACTGGTGCAAGGTTACGTTACAGCATGGTTGTAGACATCGATTGACAGCCCTGCCTGGCCTGCGAAAACACACATGCACGAACGTGGAGTAGTTGGTTCCCAACTTGTTATGTGCAGCATTCCTATTCATACAACCACTGTGATCGGGAACCACTGACTGACTTGATAGACTTGAATTCAACACTGTGTGATAAATGTGTTCAGCATGCACTACATGCCCACAAAAGGTGAATGGGGCAGCACAGTGCAGCAAGCACAAATCGACTCACACATACGAGGTGCGTCTTCAGACAGTTCACTGTGCTGTGCAGTACTTGGTATGCATGGCGTTGCTGGGTCTCCGGTCATTTCAACGATCATGCAGATGAAGGCAGCTTTGTTATTAAGGCTACTACAGGACAAGAGCTGTACACATGCATGCCATGCGCGACCGTCATTCAACTGGAATTCACAGAGGTGAAAATCAATGTATTTCTGTTTGTATTTCCTTTTCTGACCTTTTCTTTTGAGCCAGAAGGGAAAAAAAGGAAATAAAATTTTGGAGGTCTGTTTTTAAAAAAACGGAAATCCGGATAAATCCAGAAAAGTGGCATCTCTGACTATTACATCATCAATTCTGCTAATCTCCAAACGCCGACAAAGAGAATGACGTACCACTGTACCGGTGTCGACAGAGCCTAGTCATGCAGTATTCAGTGCACGGCAGACTCTGCAGCCCCTAGGGTGGTTCCTACCCAGCCTTGTTCTCAGGTCGACTGCATCATCAGCCTGGCATGAGCTCCATGCCTACCTCTTCTTCAGTTTCTGGGCAAAGAAACACCAGGGTTGGGATGGGAAACCAATCAATGCCATCAGTCAACTTTATTTCACTGTTAAAAAAATGAACACAAAGTCTTAATGACACACCTACATGTTTGATTGTTGCCCACTTAAAAAGTCATTACCGGTACATGTAGGTTCAAGTAATATCCCATATTATATCATAAAAATATAATAATAAATAATATCCATCTACATATAAAATCTTCAATATCTGTTCCTGACAACATTTGCCTTGTGGTTATACAATGCTGCAAAATATGCATGTTAAGGCCTAAAGAGAAAAGTCTCCGGCTCCAAAAGTGGTGAAGCAACACTTTTTTTTGACCCTCACTTTTTTCCTAGAAACGATATACGTATACAGCACGAATTGGGACTGCATGCACAGGTATTGCCGTTACTGACACTGAAATAGACTGGCCTTTTCGCTATTTACTTTTTAAAAGCATTTCCAGCTTGTACGTGTACATAGGACATTAGACCACCTGGTTTGTCTGGTTCCCAGATGTGAATGTATAATACAGAAATGACGACAGAGAGAGGGCTTGTGGGTACACCATGTGTAGAATCAATCACTTCTATAAGAACGGCGGTTCTGAAAGAGAGAAAGTTTGGGGTTACACCATGTGTAGAATGAATCTCTTCTATCAGAGGTGTGATTTGGGAAAAATCCACGAAACATTCGTCGGAGGGTTTTGCAAATCGCGTTGGCCACAGCTTCCCTACAATTCACGGCACATCTATTTGATTATAGGAGGAGATTCAGGTACTACATGTCAGCCACCAAAAGAGCTGTTCTTACTTTGAGGGATACAATTATAACATTTACTGCAACAAAACCCTTGCCCTCATTCACTTCAATTGCAATTATACATGTAAGCTATAATTGGTGACAATCAAAGACCTAGAAGTGTAACACACACATACACGCAGTTATCAGTGATCCACAAAATTCTATCACAATTTATTAAAACTGAAAACTGTCTCATACAGATGAGTAGCTTACTGCGTTACTCGTGACACCACGTGCACTTGCAGTACCCAGGTTCGTTGATTTTCACGAGAAAGTCACGATAATACATGTATATCAATTTCCCATTGGTTAATTCACTGTCCACCTTGGTTTCCAGCCAGGAAAATTTCCAAGAATTCTTTAGTCCTTTGTCTACATTCAGATCCCCACTATCTGCCACCTTGTATGACATCTGTGATGGACGTCGACGACATCAGACCACCACGAGAACGAAACGCAATGGCAGACGGACGCACGTTGTACACAGTGCATGCAACGACAACACGTGTACCGTGCATACACACACAGCAAACATACAGTACCTACAGTACATGTACATACATACAACGATCATACCGCTGGCCTGGGTCCGTAGGTTTTAACAATGATACCCCCTCCGTTCAATGTACTGTTATCAATGCATCTGGCGCATTTCCGGGGGGAGTAACAACGCAAAATATTGAAGTGTTTGCGTTACATATTAAAAGAACTGACAATATGGAAATCTGGAAAGTCTCACAGAAATTCTGGATAGTCTCACAGAAATTCCGGAAATCCGGAAAAATCTGGACAAATCGCAGCCCTACTTCTATAAGATCGGTGGTTCTGGCTGAGAGACGGTTTGTGGGTACACCATGAGTAGAATCAATC